CAGTTCCACTAAATACAACGCAGGAATGGGCTTTCTCAGTCCACATGGCCGGATTCGAACCTAGCATACATGCCTTTGAACCTCCTGTCCTACTGGGCACGTGGCATTTCAGAAAGAAGACTTAGAAGGGGGGTTTTGCATTTTTTCGCCGTGGGGTATTGTAGGATAATAAATAGATGCGGTACTGCACGGGAACCGCAAGATTTTTTATTATGGTCCGAAATGCACTGTTTTCTATCGCAGTCGGATAAATAATCGGAAAATCGTCAGACGTTTTTGTCAGGCAGGCTAGCTGTAGCTTGCTCAGAGTATATCAAACTCGAGGCTACCTATTTCCCCTCCTCTGTCACACACTGTTCATGATCTTGAAAGTTGGATTGGTTGGACAGGTCTTGCATTTTCCAAGGCATTCCAAATGACGTAGTTTTTATAATCGTTCTTTTTTAAACTAGCACTCCGATGCCTCGCGCAAAATTTTTTCTCAAGGATCATCGACAGCCTCAGTCGATGAATGAACATAGAGGCAATTTTGTGAACAAATTACTTCTGTTCTGCTTATTTTGCCCTTTCTTTTTGTAGTATTGAATTTCTGTCCGCCTTCTTACAGATTCACCTCCGCACAATGCCTACTTCGGTGTTTCGACTCCTAACGGGACAAGATGTGCCCAACTACATTTAGAGGATCTCCCCTGATCGTTGTGATCTCTGGCTTGCCCATCTCTCGAAAGATCCATACTTGGATCTCATCAACGCACTACTTGCGCCGCTGGCAGTTGTACATATGTTTGCTGTACATTTCATCTCAAAGGCTTCCGTTTGCATGATTCATGAACACCAATAAATAGTGCGTCTCTGTTTATCTGTACTTTATCTCGAACGCTCCCACCGCTTTATTGGATACATTTTCTTGATGGTTTCCCATTTATTTCCCATCATTGTCATTTATTAATCAGCCAACTTTCTTACCTTCATTTGTTATCACTTCTCGTCCGCAGTATTTTTACGTGAGAATTGGATCTGAGTTTCGTTTCTTCACTGTGCAAGTGTCTTCTACTACTCACGGTTTGCCAGTCGGCCCGAAATTTCTCAATACCATGAACCTAACTGACATGCGCTAGATAACAGGCAATGAATGCAGATGGCAGTCTATCTCTGGCTCATAACAGTTACAGAAATATAATATCAATACTTTTATGCATATTTCTATTGATTACGGCTCAGATAGGCCGCTCGTAACTCTCTCTCTCTCTCTCTCTCTCTCTCGGATTCTGCGGTCTTTTTGAACTATTACCTTCGGTCATTCCTGTGGGCACTAACCATTTAGGGATGACAAGCACAATAAGTTTGACCACGGTCATTCGTTGTTTACGAGTCGTCCTTCATAATTTACATCCTTCATTCAGTGAGTCCAGAAGGACCAATTTGTGCGCCTCCGGAGGTCACAAAACACCTCACTGGAAATGGTACTACCGTAGTGGAGGCCTAGTATCTGTTTTCGCGTTGGTTGGTCACGTTGAACAATGCCGGTGATCCGGCATTCAATCACATTTGTCCATTTCGGACGTCCTCACAGTGCAGTGTTCAAATCATGCTCCCTATGTGACATGGCTCAATCAGGCACCACATTCAGTCCTTCCACCTTAGCCTACATTTATGCATTTTAGTGACGGTAACAGAAGTAACCGCTCATTCCTGTTTAATCCCCATGTAATATGTTATATGTCAGCATCGGCCGTTTGATCATGGTTACCTCTGGACGCATATCGCCTGTATCCACGGCCAAAAACCCTACGTAAATTTGTTTCAGCTTTCAGCGAGCTAGTGAAGAGGAATCTGTTGACTCAGGCTGTACAGTAGGTGAGTCGCCTAGAGTAACCGGACATCGCGTCGATTAGACTAATGAATTGCGACCCGGCTGCTAACCAGAAAGCCTGTCCTGAGTGGTTGGAATTGACGAGCATTTTTGTTTGGCGCCCCACATCAGAGCACGAAGACTCTAGCGGGACCATCTGATCGTTCTAGAAGTATATTTGTCCCAAGCTACTGTACGTTTTGGTGTATCACCGTGGGCGGAACAGCAAGTCATGAAACAGATCAGGAGCTGCGAAGCAACAAAACCGTTGGTTTAGTCATTGAATTGATTGGCGTGATCGAAGACTTTCCATCGTCACTAGGCTTGGTAACGACATCACTGCTTGCTGATATTAATGGAATTTTTCCTGTACTTTCCATCGTCACTAGACTCGGTGACCACATCATTACTTGCTGATATTAATGGAATTTTTCCTGTATCCAGCTGAGTCATCCACAGCTCGGTTTTATCGCACGAAACATCTCGGCTGAGCCCATTATTCGTCCTGGGACTATCTATTGCTCAATGGTTGCCGATCCACTGCGTTTATATTGCTGCTTCACTCATGCCGTCCCCGGCGGACCTAGAGAATGTGAATTGTTCCGAATTTACATTGGTCACTATAAGTTCCTTAAACAATTGGTTTGCATCTCTTCGGGGCTTTAGTCGGAATCTCACTGACCCTCCAGAATAGGAAGGGCGAACAATCAGATTTTTACGTCTTTAGGGAAACTATATCGATTTTGTTCTATTTTTGGAAACCCAATTCGGTCATGTGAATACATTACGGTATCGGAAGCGATTGCGCGGTTTAGCATATGTGATTAATTGTATCGGTCATTCCTAACAAGCCCCGCGGGTGGTCTGGCGGGCACGAAAGATGACGAAATCTTAAATTGTAGTGCAGAGTACCGCTTTTCAGAACGGAAGGAATGCCCCCTTTAAAAACTNGAATGCCGCCTCTAAAAACTGCGTGCGATTTTTCATCTCGAGTTAGTGCAAGTGCGTGCAACTAGCCGAAGCTGTGCTTCATAATTTTCACTCGACCGGTCAACTAATTTCCAGTTGTAGTGATAGTAGTAATGTTGGGGTGAACAGATCGCTCGCGCACAGTAGCGCAGGGCTAGAACACGAACTGGAATGAGGTATTCTGGTCGCTTTTTGTCCACACTAAGCGGTCATTATAAATGATTATCCCGGGAGTAAAACACTACATAGGCGATGGCATATGTGGGTTAACTGCAAGATGTGAGTGAGGGAGACAACATACTGGACTGGGGTTTCTCGGTGTTCGACAGGAACGACTTGTCAAATATTGTTGCATTTAACGTTATTTTAAGTATTTCAGCAAATGCTGTGTCAGGGGTGCAAAATTAGGATAAGTGAGTCTCCCAAAGCAACATATATGCAGCTATGGAACAACCCAATCTGTGGATATACCTTTGAAACTAGCTTGCAAGAGTTTCTACCCCATTCGAAGAGACGATCTTTTGTTGAACTAAACAACCTGAGTACAAACGCGATATGTAGATGTCACCATCAGCGCATCGTTGACAATCCGTGCGTTAGTGGCTGGCAAAAGCAATCCAACTAGGCGTAAGATGACTCATACAGCCAGTTGTGTTAGAGACATGATACTCTTGTGCCATACAGATACAAGCAGGAGAAGAGTAAATATCCACTCAGTCGCATAGATAAAATATCCTCGAGTGGTGATAAAACCTTGCAAGTCATTCCCAAAACCAACAACCGAGGTTTATACATATTACTTGATTGACGGGTTGGTGCAACCTGGAAGATTTCGCGCACTTGCATTGGAAGGCTCAACGATGCTCCAGGACGCATCGTCTCCAAATCGTGGCAAAGTAAAAAAAATTGAAGGCATAGATCAAAAGAGTTCCATGACCCTCCATCAACTGAATTGCTGGTCCGTCCCCCAATTTAATGACACTGAGGTTCCCCCAAAAAGTCGCTGCTGGGAAAGAGCACTATGTTGGATCCAGGAACATTTTCCGAGGAACCGCTTATTGGGACCAATCTTCAGGTATGCAAAGTCATTCATTCCCCTTGATGGGGAACCAGCTTCCCTACGAAGCAAACATTAGCCTGAATCATTTCATCTTTACTCCTCAACCACCATCGGGTGATATACCACGTGATCATTCAGGTCATTCATAGGAAACGTACAAAGAAACGCAACCTCTATATTGAGTTCAGGCCTCCTAAAGGTACTTCGGAAAGAAGGTCGTTCTCATTTCTTTGAGAGTATAATGGAGGACCAGTTTACGTTACGGTTCATCTTTGTGTATCGGTCGAGTAGTACGCTTAAGTGGCGTTTATCTAAGGATCTATGTGGTGTATAGTTCCTAAAGGTACTTGGGAAAGAAGGTCGTTCTCATTTCTTTGACAGTATAATGGAGGACTAGTTTATGTTACGGTTCATCTTCGTGTATCGGTCGAGTAGTACGCTTAAGTGACGTTTATCTAAGGATCTATGTGGTGTATACTCGGAGACCTACCTTTTAATAAGTAGGCTTTTGGGATTTTAAAATAAAAAGCAGTTGGAAATAAGCTACCAGCTAGAGTAGGTACCAGCATCCGCCGCAGCGTTATGCCCTCGTTCGTGTGCAGTCAGGCTGAACAGTCGTCCATCATAGCTAATAGCAGAATTCCCTGCATGGGTAAATTCCACGTGAGACAGATTTAGGTAAAAGATCAAGGAAGACAGGCCTGGACACATCGGTCGGTAACGAAAAATCTGACGGATGTCCGCTTGGTCTGAACCGTCATATTGTCACTCAGTCCCTTATGGAGCTGGCTTCACCCCGCAAGTTTCACCGGTCCATTGCACCATCTCTTAATCCCCACCTCTAATCTTATGCAAATAAGACATGTGAGGTTAAGATTGCATACACTGGTCTTGCATCAAAACGATCACTCCAGAATTTGCAATGCCAATGCCAGGGATAGGTACGTAGGCGGTCAGAATCACAGGAAAAGATGGGGAAATACAATGAAATGCTATGGAAAGGTTAAAGTCGATCAAAACACAGTGTAGTGGAGAAGGTGCTGTAATCCGACGTTTCAGTTGCTGTGAGGTGTCTTTTTCAAGGATCTCTACAATCAATCAAGTGCAGAGTTACTTGGGTCCGCTATTGCGTCCTATGATTGATCTCTTCCTGTGATCAGTTGGCAGTCAGATATGAGCAGCATGTGAATGTGTCACTTTTATGTGCATTTAAGCAGGATTTCGAGTATTATGGCTGGGATGTACTTCCGTTTGTTGTTGCGTTGGGTGAGCTGCGTCACTGTTAAGATGCCTGCTTTGCCCCTTACCACCACTACTACTAAGCGGATGAGCCCGAACCAGATGGACTGGATTCTGGCTCAATCACTACGCTTTTGAAACTTTGTATCATAATATCTTATTCCACTAGGCTATTTCATCTTTGAACTTCCCATAGTGTACACCACATGGTGCAGAATCTGTTTAATACGATCCGAATCGGGTTTAGCCGGGTTGCTTCATTACTGTGGCGGAACCCAAAGCCTGGAAGTGGGAAATTTCACTAGACGATGCGTCCTGTTGAAGAAATACTGCGGCAGTCGTACTATACTTATTCGTTATTTTCACAAGCAGTTGACATTTTGGTAGGGACCTGAAAATAGGATTAAGGTACAGAGATGAATGATAGATGGTTGCGAGTCTTGTACAATCCACACTCAAGCCTAGAAATGATCGCTTGTCAGAAGGAATGATTCGGGCGCGTCCAGACTACGGTGGTGGCAACACAACTGTCTCAGATTTCCTTGGTAATAATCCCGGATGTACATTGCTGACCGATTCTAATAAAAGCAAAACTCGAGTCTGGTGTTTCCTCCCTTTAATGCGGACTCATTAACGCAATTGTGCCAGAGCACAAGAAGGACTGTTCAAATGAGACTGATGTTAATATAAGTAAGAAATTCATAATTCACAAGCAGCGTCCGTGTGTTAATGCACTACGACTACTTTCAATTGGCATCGGTAGTTCGTGTACCTTAGGATGGGGGTGAAATGAGCAGATTTGCAGTTATTGTCCTGGGTTGCTATCGTAATGGAATTCTGAATATATTCCAAGGTAGATATTTCAGCAACTTTAGGGCGTTACTTCTGAAAGCTATAGGTATTTACAAGAAGAACCTTGTGGGTCTGAAAGTACTGGCACTAGATTCCTTATGAATAAAGTTGGTAACTTTGAGTGTCATGCAGAAAATTTAGTTTGGTTGGGCTGGTTGAATTAAGCCACAAATGGTG